CTCTCTCTCTCTCTCTCTCTCTCTCTCTCTCTCTTTCCCTCCCCCCTTTCCCCCCTGCTTCGAAATTGGCATTTTGCACCGGGGAACCTTATCAAAGGCTGCTATTCATTGCAGGGAACCGGCTGAACTGCTTAACCACCATCCAGCCCCCGGGACTGCCAGCCAGCCCTGGATCTTCCTCCTGCTGCTTCCACTGCTAGAGAAATCGGACTTCGCTGGAAAAAAAAAAACCCCACCAAAACCAAACCAAACCAGGAGCTTCTCATCGCGCCCGGGCGAAGGAAGAAGGGATGCTTCGCTGTTTCTGTTCCTCCTGCTTTCATCCCTGTTAAAGGTCCGTCCGTCCGTCCGTCCGTCCGTGGGAAAGCAGGCAGGCAGGCAGATCTGGGCAAAGCAGAAGTTTGCTGCAAGGGGGTAGGCATCGTATTGGCTGGACACCAGGGATGGCTGCCCAGAACGGGTGGGGGTGTGGGCAGATGCCAGGCTGGCACCCAGGGATGCAGTTATCTGTCCGAAAGCTCCTTTCTCTCTCTCTGTGTCTCTGTGTCTCTCTTTCTTTCTTTTCCTGGCTCTTTAATTCCAGCCCTCTCCCCCTCCTCTTGGGAAAGGGACGACCAGAGTTGAAATGGGGTGGTGGGGTCTGTAGGTGGGGGGGTTGGGGGTCTCTATGGTTGGGGGGTGGGATTGTTGCAGCCCCGTGTAACCCCATTAGGGGAATGGGAAGGCTGGCTCCGTGAATCCCTCTCGGAGTAACTGACGGAGCCCACTTCCTTCTCCTGGCTCCGTTTTTTGCTGCGTGCTCCCTTGCCCCAGCCAGCTTCATCCTTAAAATGCCTCAATTTGGGGGTGCCAAGCAGAGAGCCCGGCAGGTATCCACAGAGGCGCCTCCTTCCCCCTCCTCTGTCCCCCCACCCCCAATCTGGAAAGTGGGTCACTTGTCCCCTTTCTGCCCTGGGCTCCAAGGACCAGTGTGGAAGAGGCTCCTCCGCGGAAGAGAAAAGTTTTGGGGACCTGCTGGCCCACATCCAGGCCACCCGGGAGAATCTGTGACGACCACCCGAGGCTACTTTTAACAGAACAAACCGAGTTGGTAGGGACGTTAGAGGTCTTCCAGTCCAACCCCTGCTCAGGACAAATGGCTGTGTCCAGTCTCTTCTTAGAAGAGTTAGAAGACCTGAACCGCCTGCCCGCAGCCAGGAGTGTGATCCTCACTGGATCGAGGTTGACTCAGCCTTCCATCCTTTCCCGAGGTTGGCAAAACGAGGACCCAGATGGATTGGGGGCTCTGGAAGCCACTCCGAGAGGGCATTGGAGAGCGGGGTAGAAGTCTTTAAGTGAGATTGCTATCTGAAATTCGATCCCGCGGTCATAGGGATAGTCCAAAGGGTGGAAAGCAGTCTTCAAGTTACTTTGTTTTTCCCAGTGTCGTTGTATCAGTCACTGAACAAACTGTTGTAAGTGAAGGACTGCCCGGATTCAAGCATTTCCCTCTCTCCCTCCTCTCCTCCCCTCCCTCTTCCCTCCCCCCTCAATAGATGCACTTTCTGTTGGATGCTGTCGCCGCACTGAATGCGTAAGGACGGGGAAAGCCATGTCCCAGATGCTGCACATCGAGATCCCCAATTTTGGGAACACCGTCCTGGGCTCCCTGAATGAGCAGAGGCTTCTGGGCCTCTACTGCGATGTCTCCATCGTGGTCAAGGGCCAGGCCTTCAAGGCCCACCGGGCGGTGCTGGCCGCCAGCAGTTTGTACTTCCGGGACTTGTTTAGCGGGAACAGCAAAAGCGCCTTCGAGCTGCCCAGCTCGGTGCCGGCTACTTGCTTCCAGCAGATCCTCTCCTTTTGCTACACGGGCAAGCTGACCATGGCGGCCAGCGAGCAGCTGGTGGTGATGTACACGGCGGGCTTCCTGCAGATCCAGCACATCGTGGAGAAAGGGACCGACCTCATGTTCAAAGTCAGCTCGCCCCACTGTGACTCTCAGACGGCCATGATCGAAGAAGCTGGCTCGGAGCCCCAGAGCCCTTGCAACCCCGTGCAGATGGCGTCCATGCCTTACGTCATGTCCCCCTCGCTACCCATCCCGCTCCTCACCCGGGTCAAGCACGAGAACCTGGAGCAGCAGGCGCCGCTGCCGGCCAAGCGGGCCTTGGAGGGGGGCCTGCGAGAGGCATCGGCGGGGGGCTCCGCGGGCACCACGGCGGTGAAGCTGTCCCGCGTCTCCTACTACGGGGTGCCCAGCCTCGCCCCGCTCATCTCCAGCATCCCGCAGGCTCCGTATGTCCAGGGGGAGCGGACAAGTCCCGGGGCCAGCAGCATCCCAACCACAGACAGCCCCACGTCCTACCACAACGAAGAGGATGAGGAAGACGATGAAGCCTACGACACCATGGCTGAAGAGCAATATGGGCAGATGTACATCAAGTCGACAGGCAGCTACGCAGGTAATCATATTTTCTTTCCCTTTCCCCGTTACTATTAACAGAATAACAGAGTTGGAAGGGGCCTTGTAGGTCTCCTAGTGCAATCCCATGCTCTGGCAGGAAACTCTACACCATTTCAGGGAAGTGGTTGTCCAATCTCTTCTTTTCTTTTCTTTTTTAAATAAAATTTTATTTCACTTTTCCACATTTAAAGCAAAAGAATAAACATCCCTTTTATTGAACAGCCTGATTCCAGGTTTTCACATCTCCATTCAGACATGGCTTTAATTACATACTCATCTTTCATATTTAATTCCACATTTTACCACTACTTTATACATTCTCTATTGTTTTTCTCAAATATTTCCCTCAGGAAATAAGTCTATCGATGTTCAGTTCATCTCTTAACCAGTTTGTTATAACTTTAAACAATTCTTGTATCTTCATATTCATTATATTTAATCTGTCATGTTTACAGTTTTATTGCCTACTCTTATTTCCTCATTTCAAAAATTCCGCCTCAATTCAAACATTTTGAAACAAAGATTTCCCCTACAATTACCAATTAGATTGTGCCACCCCTAGAGCTTATAATTAATGTGGTTGGTTGTCCAATCTCTTCTTGAAAACCTCCAGTGATGGAGATTCCACAACTTCTGCAGGGAAGCTGTTCCACTGATGAATTGTTCCTTAATTCCAGGTTGCTTCGCTACTTGATTAGTTTCCATCTGTTGTTTCTTGTCCTGCCTTCTGGGGCTTTAGAGAATAGGTTGACCCACTCTTTTTTGGGGGGGGGCAGCCCCTTAGATATTGGAACATTGCTATTATGTCTCCCTTAGTCCTTCTAGAAGTTTTGTCTACTACTTCTGAACTCAAACATTTAATCTTCTCTGCATTTATGCTGAGATGGACCTCCGATGTTGGCTTTGGCCATCTTTGGGGCAACAACAAACAGTGGTTCTGGAGTTTTTATGATTTTGGGTGGAAGAAATATTGAGCATTTGGGTTTGAGCATTTAATGTTAAAAGGCTCTGGTTGTATTTGCAGCAAGCTCAGGGAAAGCCATTGCCCTAAGATCCTGAGAAGGCCAACCAGGCAATCAAAAGAAATGGATTGGATTGTTTGACGATCATTGTCAAATCTTGGTTCTTCTTCTTCTTCTTCTTTTCTTCTTCTTCTTCTTCTTCTTCTTC